TTAAAATTACATGACAAAAAATAATGCTAACACCACACTCTATGCTTGAAATATCTTTGCATATTCATTGTTTTTCTTGAATGTTACTGACATACTTACACCAACTAACTCACTGTTGTTTGAAAGGATAAGTAACAGTTGAATAGCACCTTGTAAAGTTCAACTATTATTGCTTGTACATTCGATCTCGGTCGATTGACATTGACAACAAACGTACCATCTGTCAGTGTTACATATACTGCTGTGATAATGAAACTATCATAGTTCTCACTATATAGAATTTATCATAAGCACCTGACTGTTCTATGTAAACACTTAATGGCATAGAACTACATTTGTCATATGCACTACTGCTATTAACCAAAAGTTAATCAAATTATAAAACCGAAGCCCGCTGAATAAATAGATCACAAGCACTTGGGACATACAATGGTTCATCCTCATTCTTAAAATATTCTGTTCTCTGTTTGTTGTTCTCCTAAGAATAAATATGGTTTATTAAACATCAATACTATCTCTACAATTCTGGTTACTATAATTATGTATTTATAATATAGAACTTTAGTTGCTATTCTCCTACTGTGAATAATAATGGTCATGAGTCAACATTTTCATATTTTTCACTGCTACCATATTAAGCATCGCGAAGATATAAATCAACTACAGGATTATCTATACGTTCAACTTTCAAATCTTCATAACTATAACATTCGATGGCCATGGCTCGGATAGAATGCATTTTTGAATACAGCTGTCTACGTTATTCTTTGATGTATTTGAAAACCTCTTATATGTTGCTAAATAAAAATACTAAATCTTTGTAGCTCAAGCATCACCACATACTTGGGCTAATGGTTGTGGTGAGCATCCTGCGGTTCCCCATAAAATGAGATCGAGCGTCGAACTGGAACTGGAACTGACATTTTTCAATTTCTTTTATCCGGAACCCAAACCAGAAGGAGTGGGTGTAGGTGCAGGGAAAAGATTATCAACAAACACAGCCATATCCACATCTACATACGGATATGACCAAACTGTTCATATGCTTATCATTGAAAGTTTTTGTATTGGTACAGTATGTCACATGAGTTCGAAACCGTGTACAACAGTAGATTTGATAAATTCACAATACAATTTAATTTGCAATACCCATACCAAATCGATATCACCTTCCCAGTCCTTGACCCATTATTTAATACAGTGTGAAATATCAATGATAGAATCGATTTCATATTTATAGTCAACCATTCTACGCCTAATATGAGAAAAGCATGTGTGGCAATAAGTGAATCTTGAATGTAAATTCACCACTAATTGTACTTTTACCAATTTTGTTCTATCCATACTTTCAACTCACAATAAATGGCTGATGAACATTTCATATCATTCGTTAATGCAGCAAGAAAAGTCGATTCGCTAGTCATGATTGAAGTGCAAAACATATGCACAACTGGATACCAATTGTTCGAATCGCGCTTAGAATAATTTAAACCAAGTCATCAACAGATATTCGGATCCAATTCACTAAGATTAGCCATTGCTGGTATTTAAACGGTAGAACATTAGTTTGATGAAGATAACAGCATTATTGTACCAATGTTTTCATGTACAATACTAATGTCATCATGTATTGTCGCAGTGATAATAGCCGCAATAAGAAAACATTAGTGTTAATAGAAGTAAAGGTAAACTTAGACTAGTTGAGAAATGATGCAAACGATACTGTAGGAAATGACAATAAAAAAAGTACGTTCATGTGTAAAAACCTTATTTTCTGAATAAACGATTGTCAGTTGTACTTTTTTCGCTTCCTGATATTACTAAATGTTACTACTATGTCATCAACATCCACATGTACTGCTGATAAGGTGATGAGTTTTGAAAAGAATTTTCATTGTCGATGCTAACTCTTTCTTTAACGCTCATTCTAAACATGAGTGTATCTTACATCTGCTCATAATCGGTACACAAATTTATAGCATAAAAATTCTTTTGAAACACAAGCATACGATCGAAATTGAAATCATATTATAATCCAAGTTCTTTCAAACAATACCCTATTTATTTTTATTGTAATGCAATTTTTGCAAAAAAAACTGTTAAAAATAAGCTTGATTCTGTAACAGAATAAATTATTGCATGAATGCTTGAATATGTAAAACCTAAGAGCATCTCACTTACAGTTGTTATATAACTTATTGTTATTGAGTAAATTGTCTTTCGTCAATGAAACAACATTAATAAAATCTCATTCTCTAAAACACAAACATACTTTGAGTCTTATTTTAATTTCTCTTACCACATCTCTGAACGAAATCGATGGAATTATACACATTATCTGTTCAAATCCTTCACTTAGCTTGTATCTAAATCAAAAACTCTGACAGTCGCTTGCAAAAAATGAACTTATAAACCATAGATGTCCATTGTGACTAGAGACTTGCTACTGCCCTAGAAGAGACAAAGCTACCATAATGATTTTCGAGGACCTCTTCGAAAATTTCTTTCGTCATTGTGCTAAATTATCACAGTTATATTGAATTCATCAGATGCACCGCGATGCTCACTATGAGACTAGTAGACAATCAAATTGGGTACAAATTCATGCAATTTTACATTCTTCCTAAAAAACAAGCTGCTCCTATAATCATAGTATTTTTGAAAAATATCTTGCGCAGAGGCAACACTCCTCCTATATATGTCTAGTTGAATTATTTCATCTTCCGAATGACAGATGAGTCACGAAGCGCTATATGATATTTTCATGTAAAATTTGATTGATTAACTTGAGAAAGAAATAATAGGAATAAATCAATTTTTCAGAGAAAATCTACAATTTATTTCAATATTAATATTAATATTTTAAAACTTTTCCGTTAAGAATCGTTCGGATTCTTTGATATTTATTTAACAGTTTCGGTGCCATGTGGAACAATTGATTAAATACTTTTCTATCTATTATTCAGGTTGTTAAATAGTCGATCTATTATTTGAAGTGCATGAACATTGATAAATTGTTTATTAATATGAATAGTATATCTGAAATTATGAGCTTCTTACGAACCATAGATTACATGAAATCGCATTCGAAAAACATGAATTCTTGGTTAAAGAATACAATGTCTCTTCGATATTTCGATGCATTCAAATTTATTTCTTCAAATATTACATTATTATTATGACGACTATATATTTATTGATCAATAATTCTTGTTTTTTCTCTGATATTGATGATGTATTGTCTACGATTTTGTCTTCAATACTCAACTAAATTAATTTATTTTAATTTGTTAATATTTTATGAATTGAGAATTCGTCAATATACGTTCAAAAACTTATTTCTTTGTCACATTGATAAAAAGTGATCATGAAAATATTTAAATCTATCCTTGTTTTATATAAAATAAAATCATCAAAACAAAATGCCTACTTTTATGCAAGTTTCATTTTGCAATCAACATCCTCATGATGAAAAAATAGATATGTACAGGATCAATTTTTTTTTGCGCTATGTGTGAAACAGAACACAAAAAGAAGAAAATAATAAACAGACAAAAAGCGACTCTTCTTTTTCTCATTGTCAAGACCTTTATCTTGCGTAAATATAATGATTCCTGATGCGAATAGCGAACACAAGATGTCAAGGTTTTTTGTATTTTGAAGTTGATCATATGAAATAGTATTATGGTATGATGCCTAAAGACCAATGACTCAAGCTTTCTATAGAAGATTCGAGAGTCACTGATGCACTTTGATCGAAAAATTGAAACGTGAATACCATAAGATGATATTATATCAAAAGATTTAGAATTTCATTTCGATTCGAATGTTATGTCTCTGATTTGGGGCAGATTTTCCAGTAAGTTGCCTGAAGCAAATTACTTTTCTATAGTACTGTCTTTGGTACGTATTTTGTTTTCGTGCTATTGGTATAACAATCAAATGAAGCCATTTCAAACGAATTCAGTGTTCATTGTTTGACTTGTCTATACACAACTCGGAACTTTTAAATGGTATTAAACTTCGTATTTTTTTACTTCGATGACTATGATGATTATTCATCATACAATATTTGCTACTAGCAATAATTCTAAGTCAAACTGTTTTTACATCGCTACGGGCTTTGATCAACGATGTTTATTGTTTAGGTAGAATCCTAATGTTGCATTTTGTAATTTACTAATGATTTCTAAGTTAGGTTCTCTTCTTACATTATTATGTATAGTAAGTGTTATTGACGAACTAATTGTGTGCTTGAATTATACCAAATGTGAAAATACTTTTCCGTGATTTTGTTCTGTTTTGCAGCAATACAATTTTGTTGCCTGTTATCGTGTCTTTATTATTTCTATATTTGATACCATCGGTTTCATTTTAAGTTATATCATACAAAAGAGTAGGAGTAAAAATCAAAGATTCTATGATATGGGAAAAATTTTAATACAGGGCATGTATTCTTTTTAAGGAACACATGTTGAAAATACGTACTATCTTTTGAAAAGCGTGCCGTTAGTGTCGTTTCAGTGTTCTACATTATTATGGAAACAGCTCTGTAGTGAATATCTGAAGTAAAATGCATTTGCTTCAAACAAGACTAGTGTCAAATTACTTCTTATCTTATGCTAATTAAGGATAAATTAGAATTCTTTTGGTTTATCCATTACCTGACTTTTGTCTATAGGTGGCGGCAGTGAGAAAAGCATCTACTATTGATAGGCCGAACGAAACGACTTTCTGCTGAGACACAGTATACCTTTATTGTTATGATGAATTTATACAATGAATTATAGAAAAATTCATCCTTTTTTGTTTTATTTTACATCTGTAGATGACTTAGTATGTGGGAAACATTTATTTATCATAATCAATGTTAGATGAAGTTCACAAAAATAAAATCTTTCAAAATCAAGATTTTAGTGACAATTATAATTATTATCTATTTTCTTTATAGTATTCGTAAAAATCTATTTGTATCTTCATGTTCTCATTTATATAATGTTAATTCCTTTCAAACATGTGCTTTATCGAATAAAATTTGCAATATAACCATTTTACTCAATTCTTACGCTGCTTATCGAACTTGTATTATTGAAAATTTATTTACTGATGCAGATTACGTTGTTTTTGATGCAGTTAATGGTTTAGGTAATCGCATTCTTGGTTTAATAGCTGTGACTACTTATGCTCTTGTTACTAGTCGAGTTCTTCTAATAAACTGGCAACCAGGTGATAATCATCAAGCGTCTTTCGAAGATCTTTTTTTGCCTTTATCATTATCAGACAATGTTCCTTTTTATTATCAATATTCATTGCCAAGATTAGCTAATCTGGTGAAAAATCGATGGATGAATGAAATTGAATCTAAAACAAAAAATAGTCGAATACCAATTGATTGGGCATTTTATTTTGATCGTGAAATTTTATGTAATAATAAAACATACAAACAATCATGGTTTGTACAATTTGGATTTTATATTTTAAACTTTATTAGTCATCATGTTAAATGGTTTCGAACTGATCAATATTTTGTACCATTATTAAAGCGAAATGAAAAGACACGACAAGCATTTATTACACTTTTTCAAAATGGACAAGTTTTCTCAGAATTAGCAACAAAACTTTTACATCCTGTACCGAAAGTTAATTCAATTATAAAAGATTTTCAAACAAAATATACTTTAGAGAATAAAATTATTACAATCGGAGTTCATATGCGTAGTTGGTCAGCAAATATGATTAATCACATTGAACCATTTCAAAAATGTATTGAACATGTCATAAAAAATGTTAGTAAGTAAGTAAATGAACGTTATTTATAATTGAAAGTTTATAAAATAATCTAATTCATAGATCTGATAAAGATGAAACTAAAATTCACTTATATATCATTTCAAACACTCGACAGCGTCGTCAAAAACTAGAAAATCATATTTCAAACATATATAAAAATTTGAAAATACTCAATTCACCAGAAGCACCTGAAACTGCTAATGTAGTTGAAAAGATGCAATATACTTTGGCAGAATTACTTATACTATCAAAAATGCAACATCTTATCATAACATCGAAATCAACATTTGGTATGATTGCTCAAGGTTTAGCAGGTAAGGGTGCTTGGATCGTACGACAAGGTGCATCACACGAAATACAAACCATCAAGTCAGATCTTTGTGAATGGGAATCGACTAGTGAACCAGAATATCAAATGATGGGATCACTTCAAGTCAATCATACTTGCTCTCAATATGCCACATCTTTACCAAGTATTGGAGAGCGAACTATTATTTAATTTATTTTTTTGCCTTTGTAATATAAAATAGTTCATCATTCGCATAAAATTGGCTTCTTGAATTTTATTTAGACTGATTAAACGTCTTGAAAGTTTTTCTATAATGCTTTTTTATTATTATTGAATATATTTTGG